TTTGTTCCAGTTAACGACTTCATTCATTATCACGGTCCTACATACAGTAGGCTAATCTAATAATTCAGCACCAAGCTGCCAAATTTAGATTTTTATACTATACACTTGTAAAATACAGATTTTAACGACAATGTGTTAGAACAGTTTGAGGAGATAAATGAAAGAAACATCCGTCTGAGAGATGTTTACGCTAGCTAACCATGACGTTAATTGTGTTGCTAACATTAGCAGGCTAAGTTAGCCGTCAACCTATCCGTGCTCACAAAACAGTTCGAGTCTAAGCTGATTAATATACCAATCATTTGGCAACTCTGAAATGTTACACGATACGTTAAACTTTCAGAAACAGCAAAGTCTGTTGCTGTTTTCTTACCTGACGTTGACTTCTACCCTGCTTGCCTTAAACAAAACACGTAAAGCGAAAGGAAGTGACGTCAGTTGAGTTCTAAGTGAAAACGATTAAACCCGTACTTTTCTTTATTGTTCACACCTGTACAGTTTTTGCTTTTTATTTTTGGGTGTTATTGCTTTCAAAGTTTGTATTCATGTTTATGCGCTATATTGTTTAAAGGTTAGTAGTCTTGTCTACGGGAACTTCAAAATTTGTAGTAAAAGAAAAACAATTCTCAAAATTAAGTAATTTTGACATTACATGTCCTGGTTCTTAAAACAGGACATGTTTAGTCTAATTTCATTTCATACTGTGAGGAAAAAATACAGACAATTTTTTATAGGTTTCTCTCATGCTTTAAGGGTATCCAGTATGTATGTGTGTGTGTGTGTGTGTGTGTATATATATATATATATATATATATATATATATATATATATATATATATATATATATATATATATATATATATATATATATATATTTGCTGAGACATTGTAGGCCAAAAAGATATTCTAACTACTACATAATATCACTAGAAGTACTTACATATGCTGGATTATTGGTCTCTTAACTTTTTTATTGAAAAATATTGATTTGGAAATGTTTCTTTTGCCTTAATTAATTATTTTGTAATTATGTTATTTGTATTATTTTATTTTATGTTTTTATATTTAAATTTTTAATAATAATAATACATTTTTATAATACCCGACATTGCACATAACCTTATTTCTGTCTGATGACACACTATAAAATACTAAATCAGATGTCATGAGTTACTCAGTACTTAAGTCAAGTTAAGTTTACTTTTAGTGCTTACTTAAGTACAAGTTTTAGGTGTTCTACCTTTGATTACAAAGGTAATAATAAAAACAGTCTATTGTAAAATTGGAAATGTTTTTCTGTTTTTTTAAATATGAATCAGCAGTATATCATGAACACAAATGCCAAACATGTCAATTTTTAGGGTTTATCTTTTTATGTGCTACAATTCACAATCGCTTCACAGATATGGGTCTCAAATTTGATTTCTGACAGATAAATACATTATTAAGGCATTAAGACAACTGATAAGTCGTGAAAATGGTATTGATATTGTGACGGGACTTAATCATTGCAGCTGTTTGTGGGTGGAAAATATTAAGCAGGAAGGAAACATTTTGTCCTCAAAGTTGGCAACAGTATCATGGGCAAGCATGGCTCAGTGATGCGACAAGCTACTGTGGCTCAAATTGTTAACGAAATGAATACTAGCTCTGTTAGAAATGTGTCAGAAAACGATGCATCACAATTGGTTGTGTATTCAGCTGCATGCTGCTCATACTGATCACTGGTTCACTGGATCAGTATTTAATTTATTTTTTCCAAACATTTCAGAAAAATGGAAAAGCTAAAAAAGACAGAAACACATAAAAATTGCTTTATTTATTTACTACATTCTCTCCAGGTCAGATGTAACTGATGATGTCCATCCAATACAGAATGCTTGTGCAGCATATACATAGGTTTTCATTGCAAAAATATTTCTATATCACCTACATTGTTCTATTGTGAAAACAGCTTATTTATAACATTCTGTGTTATATGGAGACGCTTATTTCTAGCAATATATTTGACATTTACTAAGGCATTGCAGTATTTACACAGAAAATGGCACCATAGCTGTCAAGTACAGCATGTTTTGGTTGACTATTTTCATTTGGTACACATGCATTACTGTATATCAGTGATAAGAGTTTTCAGTCTCAACATGCATAAAGACAGAGTGCTTGAGATAAACAGCAACGTGTTATTTTGCGCTCACATGTTCATATCTTGAGCAGGAACCCTTCTGTTCCCTGTAATCTTGATATTATCTAGAATCTGGTAAAAAATTAAAAGGAGCAAGGCCCTCCATTGTTTTGACTCATAAAAGACCAGAGAAGCTGTGAAGAAAAGCGGAGGAGGATCTGACTTTCACTCAGAAGCGGACACAGCCACTAGTTTCTTCGCTGCTGTCAAAGTCGATTCCTTCACACAGGGAGTCCTTGGAAAAAAAAAAAAAAAAAAAAAGAGATGCAACCAATATTTATAAATCATTTTCTTAGAATATAAAATATAGTTTGCAATAACTGATAATCTCTCCAGAGGCCCAGAAGAACTGGAAATATAGATAATTATTTAGAAAGTGACAATGTTTCTTTAACAAATACAACATTAATGAATTAATTAATAATTAATGTAATTATGGTTTCTGTAATCCTATAGTCTTGTACAACTTTAAGACAGTTCTGGGCAGCTGTTTACACACAGTCATGTTAGGCTGAGATCCTGAATCTTTCTTTTTCCAGAATGGAATTATTGCTAAATTAATAACTTTAAAGGTTTTAAAGAAATTAATGAACAAGCTTATATCCACTACAGACTTTTTCAAATCCATACGTGGTCAAAATGATACAAATAGGCACATAGATTTATGCCCCTACTATTGTCCGAAGGGAAAACATGTTTTTTTCATAGCCATAAACCAGATGGTGGAATCATCCTGTCTGGCTATTTGAACATTGTCTTGTCAATATTGATAGAACTAATATGAAATGGTTGGATCATTGACACAGACTTCTAAACCTAGTTCACAAACTCTCTATAGGTTTCATAAGTTTAATATTAACTTGCTTGTTCCATTCCAAACCCAATTTTAATGTGACCAATCGAAATACCCAGTTGAGTCCAACTTTCAACCATCTATCTGTTGATTTGAGGTGAAGTTAATTAGTTGATAATCCTTTTTTTTATTATTACAATAATTTGCAATATAAGGTCAAAACAAACTTTTATGATGCTACTGCCATCATGCTTGACATTTGGAACAGAGTTCTAGGTTTGAAAGCATCACCTTTATTGATTGCTGTCTCATCTAACTATAAAACTTTTCTCCAGAAGGCATTTGACTTGTCATGTAGCCAGCTCATTTTTTTCTTTTTTCTTGCTTGGCACCTTCTTAAAACCCCTGAAAAAAATCTAGTGCTGGCAGTGTCACTGATATTCAACATTTAGTTAATGACAGGTTTGACTTTGACATTTCCTAGGTTTTTCTTCAACATCATCAACCAGTTCCTTTCATCTGAGACGGGCAGGTTGAGTAAGGTGGTTAGAACCTGAACAAAGAGTGTGTTCAAACATGGTAATGATCACAAACTATCATCAAAACTGATTTTACAATGAATAAGACAATCCCCAACCCTATCTGTTGAAAATTTGTGAATTATGGCAGAGTCTATACCAGGAACAAACCAATTTTGGTCCCCACTGGTGTAAAGAAGAAAGATCACAATGCAGTCAGAATAATCCCACAAGGTTACTGATGGCAAAACAGTCTCTAAAAATGACTGACGTCATAGCCATATAATCATTCTGCGTTGGCAAAAAAACTTTGTTCTAGCCGACTTTTAAAAGCTAAACATAAGGACGCTGATGTCCATGTGAACCTCTTGACTAGCTATTGATTTCTATGATACAGAGCATGCGTTCAATCAGTAAATATTTTTTTTGTCAATATTTTACTACCAACATCATTAAGTCTCACAGATAATTTATGAATTAGCCTTATGTAAGAGCATCAATAAATCAATGTGTAATAGTGTACTTTAGATAATGTTGCTGAGGGAATAAAAAACCTAACAGTAACTTTCACAGAACAATTGAAAACCATACAAATAAAAAGAGACCATAAAAAAATCTTAATTATTACACATATGTACACATATTGATCATTAGACAATGAATTGAAGGGTGGTAAAGCAAGTAAAAGGTTGGCTACTGATACTAAATCTCAAATACTCACAAACAACTGCTTCCTGTCCGAGTCTGTAACACAAGTTTGGAAAAAGCGGGGAGAGAGAGAACACAGATAGAAATGGGGAGAAGGGCAGAAGCTCTGTATTGTAATGCAAGGCCAATGAATGAACAGTACTTACATGTATGAATATGCTTGAAATGTTAGGAATATCACATAAATTACTTAATTTATTTATTTTTGTGTAGTAGATTTCTTAATATGGGACCTGAGTCCAAATTTCGTACCACGAACAAGCAAGGTGGTATGACAATAAAAAATCCTTGAATAATTTTTTTTCTCCTAACTTTTGCAAAACATTTATGTCATATTTGTTTGATTATTTGAAGGTAGTGATTGAACAAAATACTTCTTATGTTTGTGTGTCATTTGTTAACAGAAAAACTTAACAACAAAACAAAGAAGTAGCATGCTATTCTGCATATTCAAGCTGGGGACAATGTTTTGTTGAGGTACGGATCATGCGGGATGATCAGTAAAAGGAGAAAGCAGCTGTTTCAAGATGCAAAACATGCCCCAGGGAAAGAAATACAAACACAGCGGTGAAATTTATGTAAGTCATTTGCAGCTTACACACACTGGATCATCAAGAAAGTCCAGAACTGAGTCAAGAGGATGCTAACAACTGTGGTGGAAGGTGACTGATTACAGGTGACGGGGACAGACTTAGAGGGTCAGCCTGTAACTCTGCCACTAACTTGGCTTTGCAGTCTCTCTGGCATCAGAGCCGAAGGGGTAGGGGCAAGCGGTAGCCACGGCTGGTTGCCTGCGCTGTAGAGCCTGGGCCGCTTCACCTGGTCGTAACTGGACAAGGGAGTGTAACTATTCCGGCGATGTATGAGAGCAGAGTCCCTCGGAACCTTACCCTGGTCAGAAGATGAAATACCGCAAGGGTTAAAGGAAAAAGATCGGGGGACAGATGAGACGGGGGCACCACCTGAAAGGACACAGCAATGCTAAATACCTGCCCACATTAATGGACAGATACAGTGGAGCTCTGACTGAAGAGATAAAAACCTGCATCGGAAAGTATGTATCATAATAGAGAAACTAGAGTGCCTTGAAGAAGTAGTTTAAATCTTTTCACATTTTGTCACATCTGAATATGTCTGAAGTGAAAGGATAAGGACGATACATTTATTACAAATAAAAAGCAATGACATTTTGTTGTCAATTTCACTGTCGTGTCTTTGTGCAACGACAACAAAATAAGTCTAAAATCTGAAAAATGTACTGTATTCACTGCAGGTGAATACACCACCTGTAGTGGTGAACACTACAGGTGGTTGTTCTGATATCCCTAAATAAAATCCAGTCTAACCATATAGCCTCAGAAATCCCACTGTAGTGAATGGATAGTGCCAGTATGCAGTGGCTGCTATTGCATGAAGCAAACTCTTGTTGAAAAGGTGGTTCAGCTTACCATAGACTGTAGAGGGATTGAAAATATGTGCACACCATAATTTTAATAAAAAAATACATTATTTTCTTTCAATTTTACATAATGCGCTGCTTTTTGTTTATTGATAAAATTTCAAGAAGGTCAATGCTATGAATACTTTTTTAAGACACTGCACTTAAAAATGGACGTTCTGGCCTAATTGTGCCTCACACTCTTTTTTCCAGATACACACAACAATTGAATCAAGATGCAGTCATATTTAATGGCAATAATGAAGTCAGCCAAGCAGGTTGCATTATAAGCCACAGCTTCCAGGGAGCTACAATATGAGTAAAAGTAAACCTTATTTAAAAGTGTTAGGTTCAGAGCTCAAGCCAAGCTGATTAATTAAAGTTAAAGATAGAAGAGGCAGAACAAAACTGGGCTATCAAGAAAGGGATCAGCAAAGCCTCACATGGAGGGATCCAATGCAGCTGCGGCGCCAATGTGTTGAACTAACAGACACAACAAACAACACGTTGGTAGCTTTTAAATCAGATGCTGAAAATTTCAATCAATCAAATCGATAAAAATATGTCACATTTAATGCATTAACTCAACAGAGTAGCACTAAAATTAGCAAATGGATATCAATTGTAGTTTTTGAAACTCAGACTTACAAGTGGCCGGTCTCGGTGTGTGTTTACTGCCTCCACATTCAGATAAAACATCTCCACTTTACAACCTATAAGAAAGAAAAGTTTGAGTGCACTAAATGCTTGCGAATGCTGCTTTGTAATTAGACAGTCGTAGTTACTGGTATAACTTGCCATATGCAACTGGAGTTAGCTTAAGCACTGTGTGGAGTGGACATTTCATGTAAGGGAGATCATCTGTGGAGTAAAGAGCAAAGTATTTCATATATCAGCATCTTCTTGTGAGATTGGGTACACATTTTAGTGTGTCTATGTGTTTGTTTGACCTGCACCCTTGTCCAGGAAGTAGGCCAAGAGACAGCGCATCACCGCCTGGTGGCAGATAACCAGGACATTGCCCTGTCTCTCCAACTCCATGATAACCGGCTCAAGACGCTGTACAAGATCTTGATAGGACTGATGGAGAGGAAGAGACAAGAGGTTATAACAGTCGCTACATCAACAATACAGCTAACTATAAGAAAGTAAATTATTTCCATGAATAAAAAATGGAGGCTGCAGATATGAAGCTGTGGGGATTGGTCCTGATGGTCACCTCTCCTCCTGGGTAGCGGTAATGGTATTTATCCTGGTCTCTCAGAGCAAACTCCTCTGGAAAAGTCTCCTGGATCATTTGATAAGTCATCTCCTCACACACACCCTTGGGAACAATAATAAAATATATGTTCTTCTATGATAGCAGAACAGTCGATATATTTGGCAGTAAAATGTGTCAAACAACTCTGAAAAAAAAACAAAAAAAAAACAGGAATAAAGAAATGGAATTCCATCTGCACAAAGACTATCCCAGCAAGCCATTTTTATCCCTAAACAGGGCTTAGAATCAAACATATGGGTGATGTTTATATCAACCACGTATGATTCACAAACTCTCAACAAGACGGTTCTTTGATTTTGGCTTGTGTGAGATATTATGTCCTTCTAAACCACAAGGCTTCAAAAAAGCTAACAAGTTTACTAAGCGCATAATGAGGTGAATTGGGTTCTTTGGTACTGACAGCATCAATCTCGTTGAGGATTTTCCACTGCTCATAAGGCACACTGAGTTCCTCCGCTGTCTGGATGGTCCTCCTCAGCTGGCTCGTCCACACCTTCAAATCCGACAACTCATACTCTTCAATGAAATCTCGCAGGGCGTGGGCAAACTGGGAAATGAGGAACAGTTGTAGTTGAGTTTGATTATTTTACTTGGTAATGCTCTTTTATCATGGGAAAACAGAAAATTAGAAGAATTAAATAATAAAAAAAAAGAGTTGTGTGTATTTTAGTAGTTCTCAGCTCCCATAAGAATAAATACTGTTTTTGAGTTATTTGTTAGGCTAAGGACTAAAGTGTGAATTAAGCTGTTAGGTTTCGAGTTACACATGTACTAGCAATGATTAGGTGCAGGGTAAGGATTATGTTAGGACATAGAAATAAATGAAAAATGAATGGAAAGAATGCATAGTTCATATGAAGATAGAAAGATGTAATATGTGTGTTTGCATGTCATACAACAGTAAGGGATAGTCTTTTCTCATCTTAAAACTAACTTTAAGAAGTGGTGAAGGAAACAACAGGCTGCTGTACCTTTTTTCCTCTTGGAGAAAGCTCAGAGTCTCCTCCGATCCGTCCTTCCACATTGTGGTTGCTCTCTCCGTGTCGACACAGGTAAATGGAGTGTGAGTGGACATGGATGTTCATGAGGTAATAGACTATCTTGCTTTGGATGTAATCCTGCACTCGGTTCACCAGAAAACGCTGGCCCACATTTATAACCTTGATAAAAGAGAGGTCCCTGCAGGGGCATTGGAGGGAATGTCTGGTAAACATCGCCATCTGGTGTTTGATTTTTGAATCACGGCTTCCTACAACATCAACATTACTTTTTTCTTACAGATACAGTGAAGAGGTTGTTTACTGCATAAAGTATTTGACAAATTCTTACTTGTCATAGTCATCAGGATCTAACGGTTGGTAGGTGACCTTGTAGCACTCAATCCGTTTCAGGAAATCCTCCATTACCCTCTCTCTGTGCTTCTCAGGGTAATCTGGACTGGAGACTTTAACTTCCTGCAAAAGACATGGGACCTGTTTAAATATCTTTAACAAGCAGTGCATCTATGACTGTGAACATTACCAGATCAAGGCTATGATAAAGATCAGAAGTCATAGTCAAACCTTTACAGACGGGTGACATAAGTTCATACCAGAATATTAGCAGCAATGACGTCTGGGTCATCACACACCGACTCCACAAAGAACACCTGTTGGAAAAAGAGCAGACTGCTTGGTCAGTTTACACTAATCATTTGTGAAATTCACACTGGACTACGTCATACAGTTTTCCTAAAGGAAAATGTTATAGATATGTTGAAATGTTTTATTCAATTCTCAATTTGTGCTATTTCTGAGAGAATGATTGACATATCCTTAATATGCACTGGGTCAAATTGAGATAATTTGATACGTCACTTGGAAATTAGAGAAGAATACCATACAATACAGTTATTACTAAACAAGTCAGAGCAATGCTGCTTGAAAAATTGTTCTGTATTCAACTTTATTCAGTATCCCAATTCAACTGTGGGATGACACAATATGTATGAGTTGCATTGAAAACGATTAAAGTAAGAAGTTACTTCTAAGCATTGATTATTGTTGGCCAGGTGCATAAAAAGTTAAAGTTCGCCTTATGTTTGGTTGCCCTGTTATGCTCAGAGAGACAAGAGAAATAAATGTTAGAACTCGGTTTTTAATTCTGTCCAGATGTATTTCATATATAAGTGATTCTAAAGATGCTGAAAGAAATGTCTCTTTCTCGAATCCTAAGTGCTGAATGTAGAACAGTTTCTCTTGCCGTCTACAGGGACATGTACATCAGATGCTTCTGACATTAATGGAGATATAAAGATTAAGATATGTTCTTTTTTCAGTACATCTTCACGCTGATTTATTTCACTTGCTGCCAGTGAGTACCGTCTAACTGCTGCCTCTAGCAGAGCTGACCTAGTTCCGTACCGCAGTTTGTGGAAAACAGGCGCAGTCAAACAGAACGCCAGCAGAATCGGAGGAGCCAGAGCATCGAGGGATACTACCCTTAGACACCTGAGTACTTTTGGTTCATTTAGCTAACTTGGGCAAAGACTTCATCAAATCAGCACACAATGGAGGAAGCTTTAAGGGATGGGAGAGAAATTAAGCAGCAATGAAGCAAAAAGGTTTGCAGAAAGGGAGGTCATGTTGCATGGTCACCCCATCAGTTTTACGTTACGTTTTAAGACGTTTCAGACAAGAATAATCTCTCTCAAAGCTATAACAACACGTAACATGGTGGAACCTAAGACATGAGAAAAATACCGAAATGTTCACTCATCGAAAACTAGAAACACCTGAAGTTCAAATCGTTGATGGATTTTCAATGAAAACACAAATTGAAAATTTACTATTTGTGCTGCACCAAATGAACAACATGGCTGGCAGAAAATGTGCCAAAAAATAATTTTGTGTAACAAAACACATTTCCACTCAAAAGGAAAACAAAACAAAACAAAACAAAATAAAACAAAAAAAAAAAAAAACAAAAAAAAAAACACAGCCTAGTGAAAACTGGTGATGAATGATGTGGGAATTTCTTACTAAATAATTTCCAATATCCGTTGCTGTCCTGTTGCTTATCATTTTACATCGGGTAAAAAGTTAAGATGAAACATGCTGACATGTATTGTTGTAATATTTTAAAACAGAAATTAGAAACTGTTCGAAAGTTTCTATTAAATTACTCATTAAATACTCAGACACGCAACAAAAGATAAGCTAACCCTGTGGTTTTAATCATTTTAAAGATATAGATTGTATTCTTGCTTCTATTTTATTTTTTGTGATGTACGTAATGGGTTTCTCTTGCAAATGATCAAATGAATCTCAGGAGAATTTTCCCATGTGAATAAAGGAGTATTAAGACATTTATGATATGCAGTATGCTGTATTTTACTGAGCTTCAGCACTTGCAAAACCCAACTCAGATCAGTTTTAAACGCAGATTGAAAAAAAAAATCCTTTGTCAAACCAGTTATAATCTTTGTAAAAAAATTAGAGTCACAACATCTAGTTCTAAGCATTTTGTCTGATCCCCCTTCTCTGTATCTTGTTAGAACCTATGTATTATCCAATAACATGCACTCATTCTCCATGAATCTTAGGAACAGAAGGCCAGTTCACAGTATGCATCTTGTTATAGCTGTTCAACCACGGAAATTCAAGGCTGGCTTTCATTTGTAAAAGCTCCAGGCTGCACATTCAACCAGCATGAACAAATAAAATAAAATAAAAAACAGTTTTACCTTGAAGCCATTCTCTTTCACAAAAGCTTGAATAAGATCTCGCCGCTCCCTTGTTGTGTTTGTTGCATCAAAAACCTGGCAACAGGCAGAAAACAGAGAGAAACATTTGGAGGACACTGCAGCATCACGGCTTTGCCAGATTTGCAATTAAAAAACATTGAAAATAGACGGAAACTTACTGCAATCTGACCTCCCTCCTCTGTTAGGTAGACCCTCACATCCTGCAGAGCCACCAGAGCACACTGCCTGTGGGGGCGAGGGGGTAAATGCAATCACAATTTCAAAAATTATAAATTACATTACAAAAACATGACAGTAAAAAAAAGATTAAATGCTATAATTCTGTGTGAAGTATAATCAAAATGAACTCCAGTTAAATCCAGCTATTCAATTAGATCCAATCAATGCATTTTTATGGAACAAAATTTAAATGGATTGTTAAAAGTTGTCTACTAAAGAATACACTACCCCAATTAAATTCAGGCATACAGAAAAAAAAACCCTCTGCATATTTTCAATGGAGAATTATTTCTTTTTGATAACTGAAGTTAAAGGTATTTAGGGAATGTATGCACAAGCCGCAAACTCTCAACTTTATCTCAGTCACAATCACATTCTTGTTGGTGGAAGGATTTAAGAATTACAGTTTTGTGATATATAGAGCTGTTTCAGACTGTGTTTTGAGGACAAAAGCATCCTCAGCTGTATGAGTAAAGCAAGCAGAAGGTAGGCTGTTGATCCCACACGTGGAATTTGCATTTGGAAACTCGTGACTTGAATCCGAACGTGGCTAAAGCTCTTATCTCTACAAGGGAAACTGGCCATTCTTAGGCTGCAAAACAAAACAACTGCTTCAGAGAAATGGTGGGAACATTCAGAGCAGCCAAATAGGCAGTTTGTTACATTTTGTGGTAAAGACGAAAGAATGCACTGGAGAGGCTCAGACATCTACAGAAGACAGCGGAGCTGAATGGTGGGAAGACATTTCTCATGGTACAGAGATGTCTCTCTCTGCCAAATGAAAAGTGTTTTCTAGAAGATAAACCTGTCAATTTCAAACTCCACAAACAGAATGGCTAGACTAGATTAAAAGAAAAAAAATAAGAAGACAAGATGCGTTCTGAAAAAAAATCAATCTGCAGTAGAATGATGCAAAAGAAAAGGGTCACACAATCAAAAACACCAACAATAATCTGGAAAAGACACACAGCCAAACTTATGAAAAAAGCCTCATAGTGCTTTGTATACTTATGATTTCAAATTGTACCTCTGTATATTTTTCTTTAATGTAAAGGGCTATGCTGCTTTCCAATACTCAGCCTGTGAAATGAACTAGCTGCAGCATATCAAACAAAACTGAAGGCAGAAAGATTCATCTGGGGAAAATGTACAAAGAAGTGAATTCATTCCTCATCCGCCTTCAGGTCCAGACTTCACTCAGTAGTTCCTACAAAGGATTTTTAAAATGTCCATGCATCCTCTCTCCACTTCTCTAAATCCAAATAACTGACTATTACTGCAAAATGTAAAAACTACAGCTAGAATCCCTCTCAGTCGTCTCCTCTGACAACAAAACGACTCAACCTGAGCAATATTGATACCCAGACAGCCGTGCTGCACAGTGGAGAGCTTGTGTCGCAGAGTGACAGCAGCAGCTTGTTTGACATCTAGGTCACAATTCAGCACCGGGACACGCCTGTCACTTTCTCAGGGTAGCCAAGCATTACAAATCCCATTTCAATTACTTTAACAGGACAAAATCATGAGAGAAGAAGAGGCTTCTTGCTTCTGGTTAAGCCTTTTGGGGAACTCAGTGCAGATTTAGAGTTGACAGTGTTGACTCATACAAAAATCTGGTGGTCATAATGTGTGTTATGCCTCTTTGTAGATGTGTGTGAGTATCGGTTTAGATTAGCACAAAAAAATTTGGCTGACTGTGGCCGAACTTTGACTGCTGGCCAACAAAACAGCTTAGTCACTGATGCAGCTGAAGGGTGCAGAATGGAGGAAATGAAACATGCAGATAGCAGTGATACTACAGCTCTCTTGCCGTCACACAGAAAATGAACACTCTTCGTAAAGACACCCACAAAATGAAACTTACTTTCTTATTTTCATGGCTTCCTCGTTGTCGTGGCGGAAGAAATCATAAGATTTATAGGCTCTGACTGCCTCTCTGCGATACACGCCCAAGTTAAACACTGTGAAATAAAAACACTTCATTAATATAATACTCACACTGTCATCCTATAAAAAAATAAATAAACAAATACCCACTGATTTCATCCAAAATATTAGACCTTACTCTGGCATTTATACTAGTATCTTGAATTGTCAATATACATACACTATGTGGATGAAATAGTTAAAACAAATATAATATTTCATGCTTTGTTTTAAATTTATGTATTATCTTATTCCTATTTTATTTTGACTGTAAATACTATTAAGATTCAGAAGTAAATATTCAAAGTTGAATCCAGATGAAGATATTGCTAACTGCTTTTTGATCCATGTTTGTTCATTTCAAGTATAACATTTTAATGCATTTCTATGAAATGTCCTGAATCTTCCTTGATTTCTTTATGTTTTGTTTTGAAAAAAATCCAGTAATTCCTTGAGTCTTTTAAGCCGTGTTGAGTGTTAAGTCTTACGAAGTTCTGAAGCTCTAAAAAAATCTTTCCTTTGGACTTTAGCTTCTAAAATGTGAGCAGGGTGTCATATTGTTTAGTGTGTTTCAATAATGTGAATGGCAGGGTATAGAAACAGCAGCCAACATCTATAGAAAATGTTTGAAAGAACCTTCAAAAAAGTCTAAAATATACCGGCATAAGATCATTTCAAAAACTTTCAAAAGTCTGTGTCCTTAGAAGCAAAACATTTATACAAAATATTATTTATAGTAATAATTTTCTTATTATTCTTTTCATCTCGTACTTTTTTCTAAGGGTTTATTACAACTGTTATAGTGTAGGCAAACTCAGAGTGTAAGATGAGTTTTACATATTTTTAAATGGAGAATAATACATAGAAATGTTTAACTGATCTCTGATGTGCAAGTCAATATGCTGGACTTCCTCAGAATAAAATGTCGCTCCTCAAGCTTCACCTTTGGTTGGGACTCCAATCCAGTTGAGATAACGAGTGAGTTTCTTTGACATGTAGGTCTTTCCTCTTGCAGGCAGGCCGATCATCACGATCATCGTTGGAGAGTTTGTCATATAAGAAGCCCATGCTGTAAGACCGATCCAAAAAAAATAATGACCATCATAGATGAGATCAAGTCATAAGACTGTCTCCTGGTACCCAACATGTTACAGAATATATCAAATTGGGTATTTTGTTGCAAACATAATAAGTAGGCCATCATCTGTCGACTGGACAAAAATAATTGTCTCTTTGGACACAAATATCCTTTGTGGTATGAGTTCAAAGAAGAAATGAGCGGTGGAAACATCCTGGGAATGAAAAGCAATTTTCTTAAGAATAATGGAGAGAGAGTGTCACACAAAGTATTTTTAAATTGCCAGTCAGAATTGACCTTTTGGTCATCTTTGCTAACAGCCGCTGAGTAATGTAATTTGGAACTTTAAACGAATAACCTTCACTACAAAAGATGTGATTAAAAAAACATTTGTAAATTGGAACCGGAGAGGAGTGGAGTGGACAAAACATGAGCTCACATTACAAATGCACCTGTGGATTCTTGACGCAGTCACGCATAACTTACTCAAATCTAATTCTAGAAAACCAACGGGGAGTTCACTTACAGCATTTCTTCTCGTTGCATCTCGGGTCTGTTCTTTTGGCTTCTGTGGAGTTTGTGGAAGCTCCAATGTCTCTTTGGGTGCAGGACATGTCGAAATTTAATCAGTTTTTATCTAAATGAAAAAAATCTGCACATTCTCAGGGGAACGTTGTCCAAACTGATCTCTATATGAGGGAATGAAAAAAGATAGAAAAGGCAACATTTAAAGAATTGTGTCCATGCAAATTCCAGAAAAAAACAAACCTGCGCCAAAATTAAGCATATTTATTAGTATCTTAAGGTTATGACTTTCTGTATCCCTGGCAACATCGATTGCTCATTTTGATGTAAAGGACCAGAGATGCTGCCGCTACATCATCTATTCGATTACAAAAATATTTCATCAAAATTATGCGATGCGACCTTCAATGACCGAAAATGTGGACATTTGTTTGACATAATCTACACAAGGCGCATTTCCTTTAGCATAACATGCATTGCATGAATAAATTTACCTGATCGCTTTGCAAATCCGAGGATCCTTTTAAACTATAGCACCGCCTCTGCAGGATTTAATCGCGGGTAAATACCCGGATCAGCAGGACCGACAGTCTGAACCGGACGCTGCGGTCGGAGGAGCCAGTCTGGTCGGTCGGCCTGTCCTTCGTGTTGAGGCGCGTCCACGGCGCGCTGGTGTCTGTCCGAGCTGGAGGTGCGCCTCCACGTCAGATTCAGGTTTTTTTTTTTCTTTCTCACCCTACCGTAAAGCTGAGAATAGAAGCAGCTCTACTGCAGCGCATTACACTCTACACTGCACTACACTGCACAGCAGCATTTCACCATTTGAACAGTCAAAAAACAAACAAACAAACAAACAAAAACAAACTAAAAGGGATCTAAAAAGATAAGACAAACGAGAAGGCTGATTTCAAACATTTAAAAGTGAATACCAACTTACTTAATTTTTTTGTGAAATGAGTTTTTTCTCCCTTTAAAAAAACAAAGTAGTCAAACATTTACAGATAAAAAGTCCCAAGTAAGCCTTTAACCTTTCACAAGGAGTATAAGATGAAAGAAATCCATAGAAAAAGAAGCTGGCTGTTTACAGAGCACTGAATCCAAGCATATTAATGGGAAGTTTAGTGGAAGGAAGAACTGTAAAATATCTATATCATATCATATGTAAAATTAAAACATTTTTCTCCTAAATTAAATTTCCAGTTAGGCTGCAATCCATAATAATTGCAATAAACAAAAACACTTGAAATAAATCACTACATTTAATATTTTATGCTACATGAATTTCCGCTGTGCTTGTTTAACGATTTGCACTTTTAAAAACGGATAGAAACATTACTGGGTGGAAACCAATTTATTCACCAGTATCAAAGACTATGTGATTTTCTGTCTTGGTTTTTTATTTTATTTTATTTTATCATATTTTTTACAGTGGTTCTTGATAAAAAGTGGAAAACAGAGTTCAAAGATTTACAGATAAGAAGTCCAAGAGCTTAAAACAGAAACCCAAATAAATAAAGCACAGCTATGGGAAAGAGCTGCTAAATATACTATGAAACGTCAGTTCATATGTGATATCTCGGTTTGAGACAGCAGAAGTATGTGATTTTCCTTGTCCTAAAAAAAGATTAATAAAAAAACTATTTACATGATAATATCTGCATTTACACACCATGTTAGACTACACATCTGTAAAAGACTACAATGTACATTTGGGTGCCTCAGAAGCCTGAAATGATCTCAAACGTCAGCTTGCTGCTACATTAAACCACTTCCAGAGGGACATTTGAAGGTCAAAGGTTAGGTGCTTCCATAATGGCAGAGCTGATGGAAAGTTTTAATGCCACCTCAGCTGAGCAGCTAGTAAATGTTGCATGAGTGATTGTCGGAGCATCTCTGGCTTCTGAAAGGCCGATGTGGAAGGCACAGTCAGCACTGAACGCTGTCAGTAGGTTTGAGCACGTTTTGCATTAGAGAAGAGCGTCTGCAGGAGACGGAGAGTGTTTCTGGACTCCAGTGTCCGACTGTTAGTGGCTTGTCCTCTTCACATTAGGGCTTGATTTTCCACAGCTGGAGGAAAAGAAAAAACAAATTCATTCAAGAAAAAAATATTGTAACAAAAGCAGCTCTTATATTTGCATATACAGAACTCTGATAAAAAACACTTTGTTAAAAATGCAAGTCATTTTTTGTAATTTATCATTCCAAGAAGATATTGAGGATTTTTCATTCCTTATTGTAACTCGACTTACTCTGATATTGAAGCCCAGCAGGTCACTGACGACTGCAGAAACAGCAGACAATATGACAACCTTTGTGATGTTGTAGATCAGAGGGTTCATGGTCAGACCCAGCAGCCTGAAGGGGGTGTCCAGCTCCTAAGGAAGGAATGAAGAATTGCAAGAACTTATTCAGCAATCTATGGCAATTAGATGATTTCATTTAGATATATTAAATTAAAGAGGACTGAAAACAAATGTACAACACACTTAAGATTTTATATATATATATATATATATATATATATATATATATATATATATATATATATATATATATATATATATATATATATATATGTATATATATATATATATATGGAAAACTGAACACCGTAAATCCTTGTCCATCCACTTCACCATTTCATCTGCAACAGTACATTTTTCTATCACAGAGAAATCCTGGTTAAAGACATTCAGATTTTTGGTTGAAAAATGATAAAGTGTGCAAAAGTTAACAGGTATGAACTTTAATCTAGGCAGGAGCTTTTGATCAAGCAAGGGCACAAAGCAAACTTTAGCTACTGTAAATGAAAATTCAGTTCTTACCTTCATCAGCTTTGTGGCCAGTTTTAAGACGTTGTTCACTATGTTGAGCTGTTCTTTCTTATTAGGCTTCTTCTCCATCTTCAAATACAAGTTAATCTGCAACCAAGAAAAAAAAGTATCATTTATCATGTGATCCTACATATGATTTAGCTGGTGGTATAAAGGATTCTGCAGCCAGAGGGCGCCACCTGCTCAGTGAGCAGCACTGAGGAGTTGCTGTATTTGGAGTTGGTCTCTGAGCCCAGCGTGGCGAGCCGCAGCAGGAAGGGGATGAGCGAGAAGCACCACACCACCAGCTCCCAATTGATTAAAGACTCCAGGAATGTTTTGTGGCTGTTTAGAAGCTGAAGAGGAGAAGAGATAATGTTGGGATTTCCAATAAAACGTCTGAGCTCGTTTGTTTAACATAAATCAGACAATTTGCAAAGACATCAGAACAAAATCAATGTTATCCAAACACGCCGGGACTGCTCCGGTCTCTCACACTGACCTGAGCACAAATGATGAATGAAATGGAAAGTGCTAAGAGGAAGATTGTGGAGACAATGACATCTACAGAGCGCTGCGGTCCTCGTCTCTGCAACGAACAAGCGGGTCAGAGACAGCTTGTTTACGGACTGCAGGGCAATGTTTTAGCTGGGCGATAAAGGAGGACACTTACCCTGAGGAAAGAGCGCAGCGCCAGCCACATCTTGATGTTTTGCACTTTCTTCAGCCTGAAGTGAGGGATCTCAGACTTCTTGGCCTTTCGAGCTGAGGTGAGATGGCTGAAGTACTTGGCAAACAAGAGTCTCTGTTGGGGAAATGTTGAGATACAGCATAAAAAGTCGTTAATAATCACAAATGATGATATAGATGTAAAAAATTGGCTAAATATTTAATTCAAGATTTACAATTATTTCTCATTTGTGAAAGTTATAACTATTTGAATCGACCGTATTTTGCCAAAGTACCAAGTTTACTATCTACGCAACAAAAAGAAATTCATCTACAGATAAAATAAATCTTATTGACTGACTGCGTAGGACTTCGAAAGGCCTTTATTTGGACATTTTCAGCCGTTTCACTCACAATCAACAAATACAAATAAATGAGAGAAAGCTTAACACTTAACAACTGTATCCAAAATTATTTAAAATTCCCTTAATCAAAAAATGCATTGGGTTTTTTCTAAAGCTGCTGTCCAGTTTTCAGAAAGATCACTCAAGCTCACCTTAATTACAGTTTGCCACCGACAGAACATATGATGATCAGTTTTTAAAATAGAAAATTCTTTATTGTTCCTTATTTGGGGGAAAAGATATATTAAATAAATTAGAGTATGACTTCCGAAAATGCCCGTTTGTCAGATTAAAAGTGTCTTTTAAAGAAAACAACATTTAAGCAAGTCATAAATGTCCTTTTTGCTAAGCCCACATTTCTTTATTAAAACTTTTTTGCTAGTTTGATGGAACATTTTAATCTTAACTGTTATGTCTTCCTTTATTGTCAGCATAAAATCATAACATTTAACAGAAATAAAGCCTCTAACACAGTAGTGAGTGGATAATTTATCCATACAACGTGCTTCTCTTAGTTAACTGTTATTGAAATAGACATTTTCCCTAATATTCTGATTTATGGAATGGATCTATAGGTTATCTACGAAATGGCTGAAGAAATATTTCTCACTCTTGGTTGTATTTTACCAGCGCATTCAGTGTATGCATCATTAAATAAAAACGAGTAAACCAGCCAGTGAAGCATGATGCTGCTGCATGTTGGCATGCCAACAGTGGAAAGCAACAGGCTGCAAGACAAAAAAAAATAATTGTTTGTTTTTATTCATTTACAGTTCATCTTGACAAGGACTTCCTGGCAAAAGAAATATTGCCCCTCAATCAGACGTTACTGGTTTAAAACAAATAAATGAAATGAAGTGTTATTAACTGATGATTTTTATACAATAGCAATAAGAAAAGGCTTTTGTAAGGAGGAGTAATTTGTCTTTGTGACATAATATCATTGTTGCGCAGATCTGCTCATTAGNTCAGATGTGGGTGCATGAGTGGACATTTGTGTGTGTGCACACACACACACACACTAGTATGCCACTCTGCAGCACTTCTCAGCAGGTGAAAGAAATCTGGCCCAATCAGCAGCACCCTCAACTCAGGTATATAAGGAATCCACTAACCACTTTACTGGTTTTGCAACAGAGCTGAGGAAGGCAAACACAGCCTCCAAAGCAGCATTTCATGGAAAAGGACTTATAAGGACTACCGGTAAGCCACTAACTGGGCTTAATTGAATGTAATTTGACTGTAGTTTTGCATTTGAGAAATGAAATGAAGAATTTATTGAAGTAACAGTTTGCATTGCTAGTTTTATAGTTTGGTTCCACTAAATGTATGTTAAACTCACTGCAACTAATATTTAATGGAAAAACCTCATGTCCTAAGGAAAAGAAAAAAATGTAATTCTAAAATGTGTGGATTTGTTTGATTCAAATTCAACCAGACATGAAATTTAATAATTTAATACTGTGAATTTATGGTTAAAATTGTAAGAGAAATGTATGTTTAAGGTTAAAAATGGAATTAGTCATTAAGATAAATTATTAACTTTGACCCAAATGTCTAAAAATGTATGTTAAAATATTTTGTATGTGTTTTGTAGGTTTTTCACCTGTTCTGTTCATTGGTTCTCACTCATTGGTGAAAATAAAAAAGATTGAGTGAATTCCTGAAGTCTTCAAGTCCTCCTTTTCAAGTGTAGGAAGCCATGAAATTATAGGACACTTGACAATCATAATGTCCCTTTGAGAAACAGTTTGTAAGGTCATGTACATTTCTGCAAACGGATTGAATTGATCACTCACCTGTTTGTAGGTTCTCTCAGCCACACACATCATGAAAAAGAAAAG